CCGCGCGCGCAGGCGCGTGCGGGCCCGGGCTGGGCGCTTATCCCGCAGGATTCTCCGCCTCTGTGGATCCCGCGCCCTAGGAAGCCCGCAGGTCACCTACTCTCTCCGCACGCGTGGTTCGGCCGTGGACAGGATGGGCTCGCAGCTCCCGGAGCCGACGTGGGGTGTGCGGGTCGACTGTGCGCGGCGCCCGGTTTTTCCAGGCCAGACCCTCGACCCTGTCCGCAGAGTACGGGTCTTGCGCGCTCTTGTGCTCTGACCACCCTCCCAGACCTCTTCAGGCCTTTCACCCGAGAACCTCTGGATCTGCACCTGGCCCCTGGTTGTGTTCTGGAACCCCTAAATAGGGCCCGACAGCGCCCTCGCCCCCCAGGCAGCCCGCCCTCTCCCGTTGGCCACTTTGTTTCCCCACTCCCGTCATTATTTTGTTGGTCCCATAGCCTTTCTCTATAATTTAAAAATTACATAACTTTTGAAATCCCACCCTGTTTAAGTCACAATGTATGTTAGCAACCTTTAGATCTTGTTTTTGCGCAGTGCACTGTAAAGATCTGTCTTTGGGTATCACCTGATTACTAGAAAGCAGCTGGATATTGCCTCTTAAACATTTGTTGGAACTTAGCCATTCTTCCAGTGATGTCTCCAGCTCCCTGCTTCCAGAAACCCGACTGCAAAGTGGGAACTCATGATCGTTTTAAGATGAGTTTTTCAGAGATGTCTTCATCAACTGTTAAGTCTTTCAGGTCTCCATCACTTTCCAACTAAGTTTCCTTTTTCTTGGAAATTGTCAGGATTACTTTGTCTTAAATATTAAGCTTTTGTTGTTTGCTATTGCAAATGTTTTCTCAGCTAGCCCTTTGTTAAAAAAATTATAATTTTGATATGATCCAAAGTTTACATAATTTTTGTATTCTGCTTTTTGAAGGGGCATTTTTCTGTTATTGCAACTTTTTGTAAATATTTTTAGTGGCTGCACAATATTGAACTTTACACCTACCTACATATCTGTGTGGTGGTTGGGCACTTTGATGATTTCTGCTCTATTTCTGCAGACCCCTTCATTCTCTGAAAATTTCAGCACCACACTTACTATTGTTCTTTGCATTATGGTTCCTAGCTTCATTCTTGGAGAAGCTTTTCCCTAAAATGTGATTGCAGTATGTATATGAATTGTAGATGGCCCTTCCAGCACCCTGGCCAGTCAGCTCACTGGCCCCTCTCCAGCAAGGATCCTGTCCTCTGCTTGGTCCCAGATATGAATCCCCCTGCTAACCACTGCCCAGTGCCTTTCAGATGTCTTTTAACTGTGACCACAGTAAAAGATACATATTATGGGTATGAAGTTTCTGTTTGGGATAATGATAATTTTGGGAATAGTGGTGATGGTTGCACAGCAATGTGAATGTATTTAATGCTACTGAATTATACACTTAAAAACGGTTAAAATGGCCCTGACTGGTGTGGCTCGGGTGGTTGGAGTGTCATCCTGTGCACTGAAGGGTTGCCAGTTCGATTCCCAGTCAGGGCACATACCCAGGTTGCTGGTTTGATCCCAGGTCGGTCGGGGCTCGTATGGAAGGCAGCTGATCAATGTTTCTCTCATCGATGTTTCTTTCTCTCTCCCCCGTTCCTCTCTAACATCAATAAAACATATTTTTAAAAATGGCAAATTTTATGTTATTGTGTTTTACCACAATAAAAGATAGTAAAAAAAAAAAAAAAAAGCCCTGGCCATTGTGGCGCAGTTGGTTGAGTGTCACCCGCGCACCAAGAGGTTGCTGGTTTGATTCCCAGTCACGGCACATGCCTGGGCTGGGGGCTCAGTCCCCAGTATGGGGCGTGCAGGAGGCAGCCAAAGGATGTTTCTCTCCCTTTTCCTTCCTCTCTCACTAAAATCAATAAACACATATTTTTAAAAATATAGTGAAAAAATATACTCTTCATGATCCAGTATAGTTTCAAGATTTGATACACACTGTACTCTTATTTTATGCAATGCCCTAAGATTTTCTATACTTTTGTTTTATTTTTATTAATTATGTGATTTCACAAGGCACCCATCAGCCTCACATTCCCTGTCATCACAACCTCAATTTTGGGCAGCCACTCCAGGACGCTGCTCCTCTCTGCCTTCCTCCAGTAGTGAGCTGATCACAGCCACCTTGACCCACACTAGGAACCACACTGCACTGTCCCCTCCACCTACCTGCTGGCTGTCCTCCCTCATAAGCTCACTCCTCCCTTAGCCCCTTTCTCACGTCACATACTTGCCCGGCAGACCCCCATCCTGGGTACATGAGACTCCGCAGGGCCAGAGAGATGCTTTCCTTGTGGAGACTAGTTTCTAGGGAAGTGCAGTCCTCCTGGCAACCCTACACCTGCTCCACCTCGTGTCTGTCTTCCCGCTTTCCTGGAAGATGATCCTACGTCTCCTCCCCATGCTGGCTGTGTCCTAGTTTACTGAAAACATCCACATCCACATCCACAGGAGAGCAAGCCTCCTGCTCCCACCACTGACCTTCC